CTACATGCCCTTTCTTATGGCAGTACCAACACTCACGGTCCTTGTTGGGGTTTGCGCCTTGGGGCTTTTGCTTGTCTGAGCCTTGGCCTTTACCCCCTTTGTCGCCTTTGCCTTTGCCTTTGTCTTTGCCCTTGCCCTTCTCTTTGCCCTTTTTCCACGGTGCAGCTCCAAGGTCCATAGGCTGCGGGAGATTCTGCAGGACGCGGTTGGTCCTCGAAATCTCCAAAAGTTCCGCCTTCACATCCGTAAAGGATTTGAGCCGGCTTGAGTTCCGGATGATGTGGCTTTGCAGGCTGCTGTCCTTTAGCCCATTCACCACAATGCCCAAAAGCATCTCCTCATCCAGTGTTTTGCCGCTCTCCTGTTCATACCTCCGGACGCTCTTTTCGAAGGCCGCTAAGTCCCCCTCAACATCATCACCAAACTTGCTTGAAAGCAACGTTGTGAGAGTGCCCACATAGCGTGACGCAACCCTCGGGTGGAACTCCTCAAAGATGCGCCGGTAGGATTCAAGACCTTCTCCGAGGCCCGTGTTGTAAGTGATGTCAAGCGGCCTACCGCGCAGGAGCATCACCAAGATATAATAGAGTTGGCAAGAAAGGTCCCGGTCCACATCCGAAAGAGCCCTGTTTGGGAAGCTCTTCTTGGAAAACTTTGCTTGCTCCAGCAGGTCAATGTACCTCGAGTCGATGCAGCTAAGGTAAGACTCAAAGATGAACGACCAGTCACTGAAGCTTTCCTCCGTGGACCCTTTGAAAACCTCGGGCTTCCCGAGTTGCCTGGTGTCTACCAGGCCGGCCCTTGGGGCCGGTGGATGGCTTGGGCCCGGCATGTCGGTATCGAAGGTGCTCTGCCTTCCCCGGGCTGCCAATCCTGACGCTTGCAGCTGCAACAGCTGGGCCTCCTGAGTCACCAGCCTGTTGTTCATTTGCTGCAGCATCAGGTTAGTTTGCTGCAACTGCTGCTGGAGCTGCTGCTCCAGCGGAACCTGGCCCGCCTGTTGGGCCATCTGGGGAGCTTGGGGGGTCCCAATCAACCCCGCTTCCATCTCCATCCGAGCTCTCACTGCTCTCCTCGTCCTCCGTCAGGAGAGGAGCTGATGTGGCCTTTGGTTTGGCCTTGCTCTTTCGAGCGGTCCCCTTTGGTCGGGGCTCGGTGCGGTGCCGATTGGCCTCCGCAACCCTTTGGGCCAATGCCTTAGGAGAAAACCTCCTAAGCACGTAGTTGCGCACAGCCGGGGCGGCCTTGCGACGCCTGGTCCTGCAGGTACTGCAAGCTTCGCCGACCCGCTGCCTAAGCAATACCTCGCCCACACTGCCCTTAGGAAGCCTCTTCCTGATGGCCTCCTGGGTCTCCACTCTCTCTCGGAACCTCTGCTGCGCAAAGCGAGCGGATTGCTCTGTCAGGAACTCCTCTAAGTCCCTCTTGCGCCCCGAAGCCTGCTTGCTTCGTGTCGGCGCTACCGACCGCAGGACCCGATTTGCCTGAGCCTCCCGAGGAACCGATCGAAGGTCGAGGCGGCTCCTTTCCTTCCTTCGTCGCCTCTCCTTCTTCCACTTGATCTTCTCGTACCCAGCCTCTGTCTGCCTGGGCTTCCTTGGTTGGCTCTTGGCCGCGGTCGTCCCGAGGATCCGGTCTCGCTCCTGAGCCTCCTCCAGGCTATAAGTTAGAACCACCCGCCTCGGAGTACGACCTCGGCCCCTTGCCTCAGCTGACCCCCGGGCCGAGGGATCAGCGGCTGCCCTGTGGCTTCTTGGTGGCTCCTGCCGCTCCTCAGCGGCTGCAAGCCTTCTGGCCTGCCCGCGGTCCTGCCTCCTAGAGGTGGCCGCTTCACTTCTTTTCCCCCTCTTGTTCTTCTTCTTGGTCACCGGCTTTCCTTTGCCGCGACCTCGACCCGCCGTCTTGGCGGTCTACCTGCTGCCTAAGCAGCACTCGGGAGGACTATGCTCCCACACCAGCGCGGATCGGCCCGCAGCTGGTTCCTGTGACGCGGGACTTCCCGCGGTCACGTGTGGTGCGGGGCTGACCCGCAACCACCAGGGAGCGGGGCTTGCCCGCGTCCCTTACCTTCGCGGGGCGACCCGCAGAAGGTGAGCACGGAGTCCCTTAGACGTCCGGCTCCGCTACCATGCAAGGGTTTAGGTTAACCCTCAAACCACACACACCGCAGGCACAGGCTACTTATTTTACTCACCTCGTGCCAAAAGGGGCTACCAAGTACAGCTATACAACGGCAGTAGTCAGAACATGCTTTATATCCTGACAATTTTCCAATTCATACCATGTAAGCGTTGCGAAAGGATTTTTAAGGCTTATGAAAACGAAGCTGATAATATGGAATACCATAGTTCTGATATTAACGACTTAAAATTATACTATTTTGTTAAAACACATCCTTTTCCTAAATATTCTTATATCAAGAACGAGATTGTTCCGAATATTAAAACTATTTGTATGACCTACGACAGAGAAACAAAAACTCGCACAGAATACACACGTGGTATTGTCTTCAATAAGAAGTTCCATAAATTAATCAAAGACTTTTATGAAGAATTGTATATATCCACTGCCACATATGATTTTGAAATATTTCACGTGGGACAAAAAAACAATAAAGCATTATTGGACAGTTGTTATGAAATACTAAAAGCATTGTTCCAAATGCATTATAACAATGAAAAACACATGGACATGTTATATTCTAAACTTTTACACATCAGAAAAACATGGTTTTGATAATAATGTAGTTTAATATTATTTTAATATAATATTAAATTTCATTAAAGGAACCTTGCCCCACTATAAGGCTTATTGTTATTCTTGGGTTTTGGGCTTGGGTTTCCGGGTTAAGGAATAACGGGGGTTTATGGGGGAAGGTGTTTTTTCTTGGGTTTAGGCTTGGGATTTTCGGGATATTGTTTTACGGGGATTTACGGCTTGGGATTTTGGGCTGAGATTTTGGGCTAAGGAATAACGGGGATTTGGGAACATGGTTTTTCTGGGATTTTGGGCTTGATATTTGGCATATGGGTATAACGGGGTTTTGGCATATGGGTTTCGGGATTTTTGGGCTTGAGATTTGGGCGCCGAGTTGGCGGAATGGTTCCATAGATGACTGGGGCGAGGTGTCTTGTAAGTACCCCCCCCCCTCCCCCCCCCAACCAAAAAAATAAATTCTATTTAGTATGGCGCCGGTGACGCCGGACAGGGGTTAGGGGTCTGAGTGGCAGGGAATTGGGAGGTGCCGGGGTTTGGGGGCTGGCTTGGGTGCAGGGTCTGCGGTTCTGCGCGAATGCGCGGTCGGGGGTCGGGGGGGTCTGGGGATCACCAAATGCTGGAAACCAAGCCCCGATCACTCCAAGATTACTACCAAGACTAAAAACCCTTCATTTTGAACACACTCCCACCCACAATCGACCACGTCTGAAGCTTGGTGCGGTACAATAATAGTACAGTAGTACAATAGTAGAACAGTAGAAATAGTACAGTAGTAGTAAGTAGTACAATAGTAGTACAATAATAGTGCAGTAGTACAATAGTAGCACAGTAGTAGTACAATAATAGTACAGTAGTACAATAGTAGCACAATAGTAGCACAGTAGTAGTACAGTAGTAGTACGATTATAGTACCGTAGTACAATAGTAGTACAAACAAACCCTAAACCCTAAGCCCTAAACCCTTCCCAAAGGGGGGTCGGTCCAGATTCGACCCAAAATTGAATTTTTTATACAAACTTTAGTACTGGAGAGGCCTTTGTCGAGCAAGGGTCCAATTCCCAATTCGGCGGTTCACCCTAGCAGCCCCTAACAAACCCTAAACCCTAAGCCCTAAACCCTTCCCAAAGGGGGGTCGGTCCAGATTGGATCCAAAATTGAATTTTTTTATACAAACTTTAGTACTGGAGAGGCCTTTGTCGAGCAAGGGTCCAATTCCCAATTCGGCGGTTCACCCTAGCAGCCCCCCCCAATAAGCAAGGCATACAGTAGCAGTACAATAGTACAATAGTAGTACAGTAGTAGTACAGAGTCTCATTCCTGACGCCCCAATAAGCGAAACAATTCTGCAAGAGATTTTCGGGCTTCAGGGCCAGGGTTTTAGGGTTGGGTGGGGGTTTGGGTGGGGGTTTAGGTCGTGGCTGCCTTAAGATTGGCCATCAGCAAATAGCACAGCCCCGCCACCAAAAAATCACCCCAGCCAAAAAAAAAACGCATTGATTAGTACCCCCAAATTTTTGGTCAGATTCGGAATTAGCCCCCGAGCCGACGCATTAAAGGAGCCTATATTCCAAAACCGACACCCACATTACTCCTCGCTGGCTGCGCGTATGAGTCAGCGATCTTTTTCAGTGAACTGTTTGAGCGCAGGCCGTTGGGGAGCACTTTCATGATTCCATATAAGCCAGCAGCGGCATTCTTCATGTCTTCGGTAGTGGACAGTTCAACCCTAAACCCTAAACCCTAAACCCTAAACCCTAAGTCAGTGCAGCACATCCAGCTGTTACAGGAGGAGATCCCAGTGCCTTGACAAAGACGCCAAGTGCATCACCAAATAGTTACCTATACTATCTTGGTGGTTCCTTTTGATAGTTGTATACTTGTAGTATAACATGCCCCAAAACCCTATTCTGATTCCTAAGGCCCCTTAAACCCTAAATCCAAAACCCTAAACTCCAACAGATTTGTCCTGCTTGAGTCGGAAATTCGGAAAGATTAGAAGTAAACGACTGAAACCTCAAAACTCGACTCCAAGAAAAGTTAAGCAGGCCCAAGCCGCCGGCCTCCGAAAACCCGACACACACACACACACACACCGTGCAACCTGACTCAGAGCGGCTGGGAGTCACAGGGAAGGACAGCTCAGCGATCTCCATACTGCTAGTTTGAGGCAGTCCCCTACACAAACCCTATAGCAAAAAGCCCTAAACCAGAAACCCTAAGCCCTAAAGCCATCTGGCCCTAAACTAAACCCAAAACAAAAGAACCATGCTGAGAACCCGGTCCTCCCCCTCGACGAGCCACCTGTGGAAAAGTTTGTGGCAAATCCGACGCTGCAGCAGCGACAATTACGAGTACAAGCTTCAGGGATCGCACTTGTTAGTATACCGGCTAGGTTTTCGGGTTCAGGGTGCTGGTCGTTTTGGCGTAGCTTCCTGGGACAGTTTTGGACAGGGTAGGGACGCGGAAGGAAAATCGGCAGACCCTGAAACCTTACCCTCAGTCAACCTGAGGACTCGGTCTGCATGTTCCAGTCAGGTTTAGGGTTTAGGGTTACAGGGTTTAGGTGTTGGAGAACGAAACGTCAACAGACATTGCTTGCATTGTGACGATTCTTCGTGTCCTCTGCACAAAAAAATGATCTCTGTCTTGATCCGAACCCAAGGAAAGACCTGCATATGCCAGCCTAAACTTGCACTCCTGTACCCCACAGATTACTCTAGCCTGGAAAGGTCTACGTAGACCTGCAAACCCTCTAAGGGAGCCCTAAACCCCTAAACCCCAAGCGCAGGTAGTCCTGATCCTTGCACCCGAAACCGCAAAGAGCTGCAACCGAGACACGGCCCGCGGAACTCTGCATCCTCGTGCGCTTCGGGAGTCGCGCAGCGGGCACTCACAGCCTCGCTTCGCAACAGGGTTTTGCGTGTTGAAGAGTTGGGATTTAAAGCTCAGGGCTGACGAGTTGGGGGTTTAGGGTTTAGTGGAGAAACCTTCTGAGGGTTCCTTCTTATGACTTGCTGGCGCAAATCCCCCCAAAAACAGGTTGCTTCTGCATCAGTCTCGGTTTAGCGATGCTTAGGATTACCGTGCAAGGGTTTTTACGAAGGCTATCTCCATGCGTCTGGGATCTTTGCTGTCCCAGTGGCGTAACTGCTGGATTAGTTAGGGCTATATCCTATATAGGCATGCAGATGTAAAGAAAGACAGAAAGAAAGAATGACCGATACATAGATGGGTAGATGTCCGTGAATGTGCACTCTATCTTACGAGGCCGTCTAAAAGCTGTCAGTGCTCAAATATGTGCTTTTCATGCATACGAAGGTTTCTCTCCCTCAAGTTTTTGGAAATTTCATGAAGGCAAGCAGATGTTTGACCTTTCCTCAGCAGTTGAAGGCAGGAGTCGCAGCCTCCCGTAAACGCTGCCTAGACCCAACTCAACTAAACCCTATCCTTGATCCCTCAAGGCAAGTCGACGCCCTCACGAATTAGCCCTGAAAGGGCACCAGAAGTGAATCATGCTAAGCAGCTCCCAGCCCCCTCCTGGCCGGGATTCAGTGCTTAGTGACGAACCTAAAGCCCCAACCGACCCACTAGCACTGCGGCTGCGGCAATCCCACAGCGTCGGCAGCGGAAGGCAAACACGTTGCGCGGCGTGCTTCCGAAATGTCCTGACATCGAAATGTTCACAGTGTTAACTCCGTAAGCCCAACATGACCATAGGAATCGCGGGAGTGGCTGCAAAGCATCACAACTTAACCCTGCACGCGAGGACTAATTAGCTGCTCGAAAAAGCGCGATTCCAAAAATCCTTGGACTGTGAGTTCCTTATGGTTACCTGGAGCTCTTGTAAAACCGAAGGTCATCTACTTGACTCTGGTTACTGGAATGGAGGAATGGGGTACAACTATAGCTACTATTACTACTATTCTTCCATTCCCTACTCACCAAAGGAAAGTCCATAGGGCGGTTCGGGGTTTGAGAAGCTTGCAATGACAGGAGGGTGGTGAGGGCCCCCCGGTTGGGTCTTTAGGCCACTTAAGGTTACAGTAGAAGCCAGAAAGTTGGAACATGGCTTTAGGAGGATCAGTGCTAGGATCCCTTATACTTTACCTTATAGGCATATAAGGATAATGAAGTTCCAACTTTCTACCAAAAAATGGTTTGGGGCTTTGGATTGGGGCTTAGGGATCGATGTTCCTGGGTGGGACCTGGGACTTCTACCATGGCCCTACCCCTGCAGCCGAAAACACTCCACGGTTTAGGGTTTAGGGTTTAGGGCTGGGTTTAGGGGTTAGGTTCTAGGGTTTAGCTGGGCGCCCTGCTTTCCGATTTCCAGCATCTGGACTCCGGGTAGGACCTATCGAAGACGGTCGCCTGTGCGAGATGTTCGGGCCGCAGGTTTAGCGGGGTTAAGCTGGAAGTTTGCGGAATAGGAGATGCAATTAGGGGATTTAGTGTAGGTTTTGGGATCTGGTTTGGTTCGTGGGGTTTGAAACATGTAAGGACAAGGGTTTGGGGATTTCCGGCGCGTAGGGTTTACAGAGCCGTACTTCTGACGTGATACCGGGGCCTGAATAATCGCAATAAGGCTTCGGGGGTATAGTATACTATATAAAGGAACCCAAAGTTGTGTAATTATATATGTAATTTTGGCCCCTATATTCGAGAACCCTTATAGATCCCCTTGTAGCAACCCTTGTAGACCGCTTTAAAGGGACGCTAGGAACCCTCTGGGTAATTCCTTCAGCCCTATACCAGGGTTTAGTGTCTGTAGCGCGGGCCACTCCCGCCTTTTCCTCGTCCCTCTCCATCTATTTTCTTCTGGTGCTCCAGTGGCCATAAATGGTCATAGGGACGCTTAGCGGGGTAGGGTCGGGGGCCTTAATACCCAGAGAAAGGACTCAATAAGGCCTGTTTAAGGAAGTTTAATCCCCTAACCCCCCTCCCCCCTAGCCCTATGAAGTGGTGATATAGAAGCCTGAATACGTTCCTACATAATTCCTTAGGACCCCTTAATCGACTGTATACAATATGCCCCCAAACCCTACCATCTAATTATAAGATACCGCAGACTCTACTCCCAAAAAATACACCCCCAAGCCCTATCCTAAATAATTATTCGGGCTGCTGCTTTTTCGCTTTGTTCTTCCCAGCTAGTCAGCTCGGCTGTTCCCTCTCCGAAGAGATGCCTGGGCTGAGCAAGCACGTTTCGCTTCGTGGCCCGCAGCCAGCGACGAATTCGTGCGCCTTCCTATTTAGGGTTTATACGGCTCCTAAACCCTGTAAACCCTGAACCCTAAACCCCTATACACGCTAAACCCTAACCCTAAACCGAGTTTAAAGTTACGTTTTAAAGTCTAGACTTGAAGTCCTGGAGTTGAAGGCCTATGGGCTTTAGGGTTTAAGGGTCCGGGAACCAGAAGCATGCTGTTTGTTGAGGGTTATAACTTATAACTCCAACCTACTGTTGTGGGATCATAAGCTATATTGAGCCCTGAAGCCCATTTCAACCATGAAATAAGGAAATCTCAACAGGAGCCTGGAAATGAACCTTGAAAGGAGAACCCCTCGATCTCTCCCAAGCTTTGGCCTGTCGGCACCATTTCCGTGGGCACCGCACCTTCGCGATGAGGCGACCGTTACCGAGATTTGCAGTGAAGGATTCAAGTACAGAATCGCGAGTCAGAAAACGCCGCACGTTACACCCCACATCTAATCAACGCTTTCAAGACCTGGGTTGTGCAAGCTTTGGCGGATTAAGTGTTTATAGGGCATGGGTTGGTGTGCGCTTCCGTGGTTGAAATGCACCTCAACTGTCATCGACTCCAATATGGTTGAACCCTTGTGGAAAAGATGCCTATGAACCCTCAACGCTAAATCCTGAAGCTTGAACCCTAAACTCTATAAACGACCTACATCCTACGCAAACCCTAACTTATTTCTGAACCCTCAACCGTCCCAGGACCCCCCAAGCGCCCCTTATGTGCTCTTTAGATTCCTTACTAAGAGGTAATAAGGGCGGTAGTTGGGGGGTCTAGGTCAGCCTCAGCCCCAAGCAATATCCCTAAGGGCCCAATTAGTAGGGTTTCAAGGACCAAAAACCGTTCAGGGTATGGAATTTGGGATCTGAAACCCTACTATTTGGGTAGTTGGACCCTCTGGGTTCCTTTTTGGGGTTCATATATAGAATCCTATAAGGTAATCCCAAAAAGGAACTACTTTGGGGCCTATGGGTAATCCCCAGCCCAAAGCACTATAACCCTATAGACCTCGAATTGCGACCCCGAGCCCGACTTGCTAGAACTGCAATCCTGAAAACCACGCAAACCCAAACAAAAGCCCTTCTTAAGGTTTAGGGTTTACCTTAAAGCCTAAACCCTAAATCCTAAATCCTAAACCCTAAATCCTAAAACCCTAAACTAAACCGTTTTGGGCTCGGGGATGATAGGACTTAGTATTCAAAAGGTTCAGGGTTTAGGGTTCATGGGGCGCTTAGATAGATACGAGGAACCTTACTTGCTTAATCACAGGATCCTGACAGTACGGCCTGTATAAGATAAGATTTACGGATCGCAAGATGCCAAGCCCTGAACGCGAAACCCAAACCTTCTCGGCTTTCGGGCTTTGGTTTTGAAGGTTTTGGGTTCAGGCTTCGTGTTTGAGGCTGTAGTAGGGCTTCAGGCTTGTAGGTTTAGAGTTCCCCATAGGCCCCACAGTAGTTCCTTTTTGGGGTTCATATTTAGAATCCCATAAGGCAATCCCAAAAAGGAACTACTATGGGGCCTATGGCTAAGGCGTCAGCCCCAAAGCCCTTGCAGCCGTGCCGCCCGCATGGCTACACCTGCGCTGCTGCTGCTGCTGCTGCTGCCTCCAGATGCCTCTCCACCTCACAGTTGATCTGGGTTAAGGGGCTCGGGTCATTAAAGTTTAGGATTTATATTTAAGCTTAAGAGACTTGGGATTAGGATTTGGGTTGAGGGTTAAAGGATTTAACAGCTTACGGTCTAACGCTTTAGTCTTACGGGGCTCCCCAAGCCTAGGACTTAAGTTACGCATACTTTGCCGTGTTTATCCGCCGACCCCTGCGGGCGGCGCCCGTGATATCCCGAGAGGTGTCCGCACCCACACCGCTTCCACCGCCTCCACCGCTCTGTTCAGAGAGTCTTTCTCCGCTGTAGTTGTAGGTGTTTAAAGAGTATGTAAAGGCTGGCAATGTGTGCCCGGACCTCTCCGCGCCCCCACTGCCCCCACCGTCCTCACCGCCCCCACCGCCCTCACAACCTCCACCACCGCCCTGTTTAAAGAGTCCTTCACCGCTGTATTTGTAGGTGTCAAAAAAAAATAAGAGTATTTAAAGGCTGCCAATGTGTGCCCAGACCCCTCCGCGCCCACACCGCCCCTACCGCCACCGCCGCCCTTACTTTTACAAAGTATTTAAAGGCTGCCAATGTGTGCCCGGACCCCCCCGCGCCCCCACCGCCCACACCGCCCCCACCGCCCACACCGCCCTCACCGCCCTCACCACCCCCACCACCTTCATCCCCCTCCACCGCTTTCACCGTTCCCACCGTCTCCACAGCTCTCACTGCCCGCTGTATTTGTAGGTGTTTAAAGAGTAAAGAGTATTTAAAGGCTGCCAATGTGTGCCCGGACCCCCCCGCGCCCACCGCCCACACCGCCCACACCGCCCACACCGCCCTCACCGCCCTCACCACCCCCACCACCTTCATCCCCCTCCACCGCTTTCACCGTTCCCACCGTCTCCACCGCTCTCACCGCCCGCTGTATTTGTAGGTGTTTAAAGAGTAAAGAGTATTTAAAGCCTGCCGATGTGTGCCCGGACCACCCCGCACCCCCACCGCCCACACCGCCCACACCGCCCACACCGCCCCCACCGCCCACACCGCCCTCACCGCCCTCACCACCCCCACCACCTTCATCCCCCTCCACCGCTTTCACCGTTCCCACCGTCTCCACCGCTGTACTTGTAGGTGTTTAAAGAGTAAAGAGTATTTAAAGGCTGCCAATGTGTGCCCGGACCCCCCCGCGCCCACACCGCCCACACCGCCCACACCGTCCCCCCACCGCCCACACCGCCTTCACCGCCCTCACCACCCCCACCACCTTCATCCCCCTCCACCGCTTTCACCGTTCCCACCGTCTCCACAGCTCTCACTGCCCGCTGTATTTGTAGGTGTTTAAAGAGTAAAGAGTATTTAAAGGCTGCCAATGTGTGCCCGGACCCCCCCGCGCCCCCACCGCCCACACCGCCCCCACCGCCCTCACCACCCCCACCCCTCACCACCCCACCACCCCCACCATTCCATTACCCATCCCCTCCACCGCTTTCACCGTTCCCACCGTCTCCACCGCTCTCACCGCCCGCTGTATTTGTAGGTGTTTAAAGAGTAAAGAGTATTTAAAGGCTGCCAATGTGTGCCCGGACCCCCCCGCGCCCACACCGCCCACACCGCCCACACCGCCCACACCACCACACCGCCCCCACCGCCCACACCGCCCTCACCGCCCTCACCACCCCCACCACCTTCATCCCCCTCCACCGCTTTCACCGTTCCCACCGTCTCCACCGCTCTCACCGCCCACTGTATTTGTAGGTGTTTAAAGAGTAAAGAGTATTTAAAGCCTGCCGATGTGTGCCCGGACCACCCCGCACCCCCACCGCCCACACCGCCCACACCGCCCACACCGCCCCCACCGCCCACACCGCCCTCACCGCCCTCACCACCCCCGCCACCTTCATCCCCCTCCACCGCTTTCACCGTTCCCACCGTCTCCACCGCTCTCACCGCCCGCTGTACTTGTAGGTGTTTAAAGAGTAAAGAGTACTTGGAATCCTGGTTGTTTTATAAGTGGTTAACATAGTTATGTGGAGTTGTACCCTAGTTATTAAACTGTTATAAGTGAGTGTTAACCGTCTATTAAGTGATTACATGTTCCTATAATACTTATATCTTTTATGTTATGTTACTAAAGTTAATATTTTGTTAGCTAAGTAACATAATTAACTTAACCTTTTATAAAAGTTAGGGTGAGTTACATGGAGTTATGGATGTTGAAATATAGGCTTTAAGAATACGAAATTCATACATGGAGATGTAATATTTCAATGACATGTATTCTGATTTGTGGTGCATAATTCGTCGAGTGCACTGAAGGTATAAGATAAGAAATCATGGGTTTTAGAATGGAATCGAAGTTTTTGCTGAATGTTATCATTGATTTTGAAGATTATAGTATGGACTGCCAGAGATATATGTTGTTTGCTTTTAGCAAATAATTTATCAGAGTTGTTGTTCGATTTTTTGTATTTGGCATTGCATGTGTGTGATCATGGGAGCCAGACGGCCATAGCAGTGTGCTCATGTCTTTGTATTGCATGGTATGTTTGCTGCAGCCACCCGGCCATAGCGAGTGCCAGCTACAGCTTTCCACGTCCACCATAGCTTCCAAGCATGGTGGAAATTCGTGCGGCCATCCAGATAAAGTACGAGTCGGAGAGGCCAATCCTCATCCCCAAGGATCTGGTGAAGCTGTCCAAGGACAAACAGTGGCTCCAACTTCGGCCCACTTCCCAACCCATAATTGAGTTGCTCACAGGCCAGAGACCCGACAAGAATGCCAGTCTGTCGGGTTCTACGGCCATGGCCAATCTCATCAAGAAGAGGAACCAGAGCTTCGACCAACCAGCAACACCAGCAGAGCAACTTTTCGATGCTCCAGAGCCAGGCTCAGGAAAGAAGTCGACCAGAAAGAGGTCTCTTCCAGACAACCAAGAAGAAGAAGTTGCCATGGACATCAATGGTTCCAAAGTCACCTGCTTGATGAGTGGCAAGAGGCCAAGGAGGTGCGATCTCACCATCCAACTCGAACAGCACCAGATCGAGACCATCATCAAGACCATTCGCAATGATGAGGATACGGCCCAAGTCCTCGGCCAGGCCAAAAGAAGCTACAAGAAGAAAGCCAGGTAGTAGCCACGACCAGTCCAGGAGTGACTCTTCCAGACTCTGCCAGGCCTTCGCAGGAAAAGGCTTGCTGCAGAACAGTTTTGCAAGTGTCAAGTGTTGAAGGGATGCATACAGTTTTGTTTGCTTTATCGTCTGCCTGCAGCCAGTATAGGCCATCCATGCATATCCATGGTCGCAGAACCATGCCACTGTTGAACCCGACAGATATATATGCAGGTGGTTAGAATCCAGCAGTTCCAGACGAGCAGAAAGAAGTTGCCCGGCACAGCCACACTTGAATTCCAGATAGGATATACCAGACAAGGCCACAGCCGCACAGAAGCCAGAAGCCATGGCTGTCCCTCCAGCTGTGGTCCAAGAGGTGGAGGCCATTGTGAATGGCCGCGAGCCAGTGAACACCAGAGTCACCAAGGTCTTGCAGGTGCTGGAGCACCATGGCCTCTGCCAGCAGCAGACCTTGGTTCCAAGCCAAGTTCTTTGCCACCCCTCCAACCGGGGAGGGCAGATGGTGTCCCACTTTGACGTTTGGGCCAAGGGACACCAACTCTTGGCAGTTGGCCTGCAAGTGCATCTGCTCCAAGGGTCCATTTGTCTCCAGATGTCCACGGACCCCCAAAAGCGCCAGCAGCAGGTTTGGAGGAACCAGCAGCTGGTCCAGGAGAGCAAGGGCTCCCTGGCCCCAGTCAGTGGAGCAGAGGGCCACTCAGATGACACATAGAATTGGTTTCCTTTTCTCTATATATCCAATCCATTTACAATTTGCGGATAAATGTATATTGTAGACACACATTGGCCACTGAGGATACCTATCCCTTGCCAGCAGCCACACCACGGCATTCTTGAGATGCCTGGAGCATGGGACCACGGATCCCAGTGGCAAAGCCATCTCCGTGCCCAAGACAGACCCAGTCTGGTCCGCCATCCAGACCGGGTGGCGGTGGCATGTGGTGGCCTCCAGTGTGGAAGAAGCCATGCCAAGCCTTCCACAGTTCTTCCAAGTCGGAGCCAACTCTGGCAATGCCATTGGCAGAGCCACCAGCGAGTTGGAAGCAGCCTGCCAAATAGCCATTCAAGTGCAAATGGGAGCCAGTCTGGAGTCGGCAATCCAGTCCGTTGCCAGCGGCGAAGTTGCCTGCAGGCAGAGCCTCCCAGCCATAGGGCATTATGTCTCGAGATACTCTGGAGGCACAAGCTTTCCATTGCTGAAATTCCTTTCCCACTTCTCCTCCACCTACGGCACCACGTGCATGATGGGCCAGGATTTCATGGAGGCGTTGTCGCACACCACCTTCCCAGACCCTGGCAACCTTTACCCATTGCTCCGCACAGCTCTATGGGCAACCCAGTGCACATCCACCAAACAGCAAGACGGCTTCGCACGACTCCTCACCAGAGCCGACGTCCAGAGACTGTCGTCGCCACAGAACATGGAGTCCGTCAGGACGGCGGAGTCCATGCTTTCGGATTCCTGGAAACTGGTCCAGAGCCAGCTTCCAGAAGGCACCAGCACCAATGCCGGCAGCAACCATCTCTACAAGTGTTTCGGCAAGTTTTGCGTCAGAGCCATCTTGTTTCTGACCAAAAAGGAAAAGCTTGGCCCTGATGCCCAGCAGAAGCTGGAGTCCCTGGCCCAGATTCTCGACCTTTTCACCCAGGACGTTTCCAAGGTCAAGCAGGCCACCCCAGCTGCAGAGGCAAAGACCATCAAGGATGCAGTCTCTGCCCAGCCATGGGAAGCCACCTTGCTCCAGAACACCCACATCAAGGTGGGCGACCAGTGCCCATGATTGCACATAGGAGTTTTGCTGTTTTAATGTCTGTTCCCTCATAAGATTCTGCTGTAGATACATTCCATACACAAACCAAGGTACACCTTGCCAAAGGAGCACGGAGCCAA